GTGGCTCAGACCCTCTAGTTTCCAAAGGAAGCTGTCATGGGCAAAAGTACCCTAGAGATAACAGCTCTGTCTGGACCCAAACTGACACACTTAGTTCTGCCAAATGGATCTCAACAAAACTTCTCCACCATAACTTCCTGGAGTGACAGTCTACAAGCAGCTTTTTTTTCTGTGGCTTCACTCACTTCACATACCAATGAGTTAGAAACTACAAGAAATGTTAAGTTTAACCTGGAAGTAGGCTGAAAATGTGGCCAGCTAGACACAATGGCTTTTTTACAGGCACATGGCAATGTAACGTCCACTTAAAAACACAGCAGTGATCTCCATGCTGTCAGAATGTCAAGTAACTCTACTGCTTATTTAGATAGGCAAGTTCTATCAACTATTTTAACATGCCCTAAAGTTATTCAAAACCCACACATTTCTCACCAACATTCGTTTAGAATTGTTCAATAAGTGGTTTATGACACAGAATTAATGCATTCTTCTTACTCTACGGATGAGCAAAACTCCTTCCTCAATGGCAGGTTCCACAGTGGTTTGCTGTAGGCATTGCCTGTGCTTCTGTTTTAATGCCTGGTAGTCACATACAGCAAGCTGCATGAGACCAGTTCAAGCAGAGATTTTGAACATAAGCACACTGACAACCAAAACCACGGTAAAAACCATGTAGATTCATTTTAGTTTGCCATAAAAGGCTTTAAGTGGGGACTAGCTTAATGAAGCTGCTACCAATTATAGAAGCAGACATCAATTGGCATCACTGACTCATTTCTTTTAGTTGGGTAGCCTTTAAAAGCTTGACTGATATATGCATGGAAGGTGAATGCTGCCCCTGCAAGGAACCAAAGACAATATTACATAACTAAATGCTGAGGAACAGAGGTTGTGTCCTCCCAGAAAGACATGAGCCCAAATTATGTATCAAGTACCTATTTCAATTCCTGAAGCTAAAAGTTAAGTTCTGCTCTCCAACGCTGTTCCACAAATCAATGGACAAACTAAGAAGAAATGCTTCAAGTTCCCAAGTCTGTGCTTGCTTAGATATTCATTTTGAACAGGTCACGAGGCATGGTGACCTTTAGTGTTTCTTTGGTGTTCCTTTAGCTCTTTTTAAATTCATGTTATGTATTGTCAATTTGGAACTTTAAGCTTTTCAGCTTCTATCCTTCCTACTAAATCACATTTATTCTAAATGCTCCTGAAGCAAGAAAATGAAAGGCCATTTATACAAAATACCTGCTTCCAGAGTAAAAAAGCCTCCAGAATACGTAGACATTAAAGTCACAACAACCCTAAGAGATGAACTTTTAAAAAAACACTCACCCAGCAGCACCTACAGCTTATAATTTTTGTCAACAACTTCCTCCACATTAAATACAATGTCTGAAGCATCAGCTGTTTCCATGTACTGCCCTCACTATGAGGGGGGACATGCAGCACAGAATTATGTTCAAAATTTCAGGTTTTCCTTCCAATACCAGTGAAGCCATGCAGTCAGTACTCAGCTACCACAGTTGCCACTGAGGCTTGTGGAGTTTCTCATGCCACCAAAAGTTTCAGGCATCTAAAACATTTGAAAATGCTGATGAACCACCTCACATTCATTTTTAATGCATCGTGTGCAAGTGGACAGAACAGAAAAAAAAGCCACAGTGTAGCTTATTTGTAATTCAGCAGTTCTGCTTTTAAGTAACTGAAGCTGCAGAAGTATTTCACCTCTTTGCTAGTTTTTTTGCAAGGTGTCTTTATTTAAGCTACACTCTTTGAGCACCTTTAATTTCATGGTTGCAGTTCTTGTGCTGTCTGTGAATCTCCCCCAGAACACCCCCTCTTTTTTGAAAAGCATAACCTGACACAGTACACGTGCTCAGCAAGTAATGTGTAAGACTATGCTTCTGCAGTGTGTACACATGGCAGACTCCTCCAGTCTCTCCACAAAGCAGCAAGCTCATGTCTGGTTGTGATTAGCACTGCCTGTGAGTAATGCCACATGTTAGCTAACCTGTCCCCCTCATGACTCCGTTTGCAGCTGGAATAAGTGTGAGGAGAACAGCTGAAGCCAGCATACCAGAGTTCTGCTAGCAAACAGGTTATCAAGTGGCACAGGTTTGATTCAGAGCCAGTGGCAGCACTCTGCCTTGCCACATGGGCAAAGGGGGAGGCTAGAAAGGTGTCTTCCTCACTTTTCTGCAGCACTTGTCTGCCTGAAGACACCTGTATTTTTTTTTTTTTTCCAAATAAAGACACTGCATTCATGGCAAAGGTTGGTATGCAGCAATGCTCTGTTGATTGGCAGGATAAAAACATCCTGCAAAGGGAGGCCTGAAGGCCTCCCAACAATTTCTGCATGAATAATCTTATTACAGGACATAAAGTAGAAGTCTAATCTCCAGAAAGCCTCTTATTTGTACTGGGCAACAGGTCAGCCAGAAACAAGACAAAAAACTTGGTGTGCATAAAGAGACGAAGAATGCCTTCTTCTCCAGACAGGGTTCTGGCTACTCACTGACAAGTTCACAGAATAACACACTGATCTCCAATAAAACACTTACTGTTTAACTCTTTTAACCTGACATTTGTTAAAGACATCTGTACTATTCTAGCTTAAAGGGAGCTAAGTAAAACCACAGTCTTGCAGTTACTACAGACTGAGCACAAGGACAGTTTCTGCAAGTTGAGCCACATCAAGTATTATTTAACTACTGAACCAGAACTTACACGACCTCTGGATTTAAAGCATTTCACAGTGGCATACAGAGGATAGATTTGACTTCCACTGTCCCACCTCTCCCCCACCACTGAAGGCTGAAGCTCACACATTCAAAGACACACAACAAGCAAGGTTCACAGGTACTCCTCCACATGGATTCAAAAAACCATGCTGCAGGCAACAACAAAAAGCATTGTTCAACCCACATGAAGTTAGTAACTTCAAAATACAGAATTCTTGACATTCTTTGCCAAAGGCTGAACTCTTTTTTTTTTTTTAAATCCTAGGAGGTTAAACAAATGAGATCTGAAGTCCAAGATGTTTGACACATCTATTATATTGTGTTTAACTAAAGAACAACCCAGTAATAAAGCAAATGGGGGGCGGGAGGGGAGGGAGTGTGCCACTAGATTTTAATTAACAGATGCAAAGTTTGAAAACAGCACCTTCTTTCTCCCTTTCTCTCAGTCTGCACCATTTCCCTGGGCTGCAGCATGCAGGACTCTTACACATACACGTTAGAGGTAAAAAGTTCAGATGGATTCAGATCCCTACCAAATGACTGTAATCCAGTCAGTATAAATTATAGCCATACACATTGCCACACACCTAGCAAGTGTTTTCTTGTCTCCAAGTTTGTTCTGAGAGGTGGCAGTGTCACATTCTCATGTTCCTCAATAAAATCATGCACAGAGAAGTTGGATCAGAAGAGTATGGCTGAACCCAATGGAGCAAATTAGTATTAGGTTGTTATATAGCTTCACTGTGCTATGGAGTGGGTTTGTGTTTGGAATCACATCATAAGTGGACCTATATAATTTTGGAGGCTGACAGTCATAATGACCAAGTAAAGACAATATTTTCTAAAAAAAAACCCTGCCAATAAGAAGTTGCACTGTATTCTAATCAAACCCCAGACACAATACTTCTGTGAATGTTTTGTATTTACATTTGAGAATGACAGGTAAGAGGAGACAGGAACTAAATAGGTTTTACCATAAACAAATGGTCGATCCAAACTGAACACTGAGCTTCTGAAACAGCTTTATTTTAAAATAAAGTTTAAAAGGACTTATGTCGTACTGCAGAACCACCCCCTTCTATGTGTGGTTGAAGTGGTTTTAGTCTATTTTGAATAATCTGTCCACTGACTGTAGCTATTAACTACTGTCAGAAGACAGCAGGGGGGAAAAAAGGAATTGAGATGAAAAGGCAAATTGATTCTGAGCTCTGCAAAGAGCTGGTGTGTATGGATTACATTAGCAATTTATATCCAGGACTAGTGCTTAGTTGTAACAACTACACTAATGACAAAATGGCATGAAGTTGTTTAATACCTTCTGCGTTACAAATTACCAGAAGAAAACCAAATCTATCTTCCAGTGTTACAAACCATATCCTAGGAAGAAAGATAATTTGTCCAAGCCAACTTAGAACAATTTGAACTGAAATAGTAGGCTCCAATTAAAGTACTAATGAATTCTAGTCACTAGTGACTAGATCTGTCCCCTCACTTCCCTCACTCTCCCTCCCCACACCCAAAAGACAGGAGCAAATTAAAAGAAATTTAAAAATTCAAGTTGATCTGCTGGTTTGTACTTACAGAACCACCCACATTTGATCAGGGTTTTAGATTTGGTTTCTTGTTTTCTAAATAGGCTTAGCTTGTTTCACTAAGTCACAACATGTATTTTTATATGGCTTGCAATACTTTCAATATAACTAAATTTAAGTAGCAGCATATTTTCCAAACCCACTTATCACCAGATTCAGTTTAGACAAGATGCACAAGCCAACAACTATCAAGTATTTTTAGGTATATTGGACATAATTCTATTTCTTCTCACGGCATGACAAACGATAAGGTAAGAGGTAAGGGACTGAAGTTGCACCATGGAAGGTTGAGGTTGGATATTAGGAAAAATTCCTTCACAGAAAGGGTTATTAAGCACCGCAACAGGCTGCCCAGGGAAGTGGCTGGGTCACCATCCCTGGCCAGGTTTAAGAGTCATGTATATATGGTGCCTAGGGACATGGTTTAGCAGTGGAGTTAGGTTACTGGTTGGGGCTGATGATGTTAAAGGTCTATTCCAACCTAACTGATTCTATGATTCCACCATCAGTAGCATTTCCTTACAAGTCGTACTGAGAAATGTTGTTATCTCAGACAAACATTCTACTAAAGCAAAGTCCCTTGTGCAAAGCAGCCAGGTAAATATTTTGATTTCTGTACTAAGTAACTAACTGAGTTTTTGTTGATGTTAGATGGAAAGAGCATACTTACTGCTAGGAAGAGCATGCAGTACATGGAGAACGAAGAATGGCCAGAGTAAAATGATAGTCTGAAAGAGAAGAGAGTACACATCTCATTATTTTTCTTTTACAACACTCAGTTTACAGCAATACTAACATCTCTTACACAAGTAACTGGTAAAATGCAAACAAGCTTTGTTTCAAGGAGGCTATCCAGGACCAACAGCATGTCCAACAACAGCCTTTGACAAACTGCTCACACTTTACTACTCAGCGGCTATCCCAATTCCAGCATTCAACTGATCTCCACATCAGGTAACAACTACTAGTCCTTTGACTGAGGTTTGAACACCAAGTGAAAACATCCTCCAACCTAGAAATCAACTGTCCTTTAAAGCAGTATATTTGTTTCATCTTTTTGATACATACCAGAATGTTGTAAATATAATTTTTTTTTTTAAATTACCTATTTGGTAGCCATAATATGTGTATGAGAAAAATGAAACATTAATCACCACAAAACAATTATTTGCATTTGGTCACCATCAAGAGGCAGTAGTTAACAACTCTCATCTACACTTTTATACCATATATACGTATGTATACCTTTAAGTGTACTGATTCCTACAGACCACAATCATCTATCATTGAAGGGTAAGGGGAAAAGAAGGAAGGCAATTCATTAGCCAGCCAACCTCAGACGATGACACCTGATCCAGTATTTACAGGAATAGCTTCATACTAATTTATGTCATTTAAAGAACGTCAGCGTTGCCTTCAGCTTGCTAGAAGCCTTTACAGGCCCACACTGAGGGGATTTGGATGTTGATGCTGACAGTCCAGGGTGCCTCCAGCAACATTCCACAGCGGGTTTCTGTGAGGAGCTGGTACCACAGCTGTAAAACAAATCCCACCCGCCTCTTCATCAAGAGAGGAAGGCAAAACAAAAAGACAATTCTAATTCCGTTTTAAGCAGAGAGATGGAAGAAACTGTACTTAAATGATTTTTTTTCTATTGTATGTGCAGAGCCTTGTAACAGTGCTGCTTCACAAGCCATCAGCCAGGTCTCTCTTGCTCAGGTTTCTCTGCAATTTAGCTATGTGACACAGCACTCCTCACTTAAGAGCTGGACATACACTAACAAGGCCAACTTACTAATTAGTTTCATAGCTCTTCAGACAGGCAGAGTGTCTGCAGCCAAGGAAATTCCTGGTCAAGGGAAATGTTTCTACTCTGAGGATCAAAAGTAATGAAGGCAGGTCTGATGTGCAGTAAGGCCATCCTCTACAGGTTTATATATACAGTTGATTCAAAGCACTGCCAATAGCTTTCAGTTTCAGAGGTACTAAATAAGCAATCTTGACAATTGCTTTAGTGTGTGTGAATACATACGTCTATGTACACATTTTTCATTTCAGTTCTGAAACAGAAAAACTGTATTGACAATGTGCTATCTTCAGATGTTTAAAATTCAAAACCATAAAATTACATTTTAGCTACACATCCCTTTTCCACTTCAGTACTCTAGCTCTTCACTAATTAAAATCTCTGCAAGAGTCCACTACAAAAGCAAATACAATAAGCATCTTGATGACCTCTGTCTTTCAGACAAACATGCCATCTCAGCCATGAAAGCAAACCACGCTGTTCTACAAAACAGAAGGTACAGAATGAGGAATTCCATTAATTCCTGGCTCCGGTATTTTATCCACCGACTTTGGAGCTCTTCTTGTTGTCCAGAAGATGTTTCATACAATTCCTGAGGACTTATTGCCAGCTGAAAGAATTCAGAAGGCTAGTAAGTAAGAGAGAGAATGAACACAACTCTTTGAGTTTATTTCGGAATTCCTATACCATATTAAACATGTTGTTGACAAGTGGCATTCTTGGGTTTAGGAAAGTATTAGCCTAATGTAACATTAAGAATGCCCTGTTCCAAGTGGAAGATTACAGAACGTGAATGCTTTCTCACCAGGCACATACACGTACGCTGTATGAGACTAAAAATGTAGTGCTTAGTACATGAAGTATTGCCAGAAATACAACTGGGAGAAAGTATTGATCCAACTTGCACATTGTGCAATCCCAGTGAAATTTCTTTGGCAACATCGCTGTCTCTAGACTTCCTCAAAAAAATAGACTTTTTTTTTTTTTAAATCACCCTTAAAAGCCCTTCAGACACTAAGTTTGACAACGGAAAAGTTTCTCAACAATTCCTTAGCATGCAAACATCTTCCCAAAGCCAGGACATCTTGTCTACCAAATGAGCCAAGAGGCTGCACAGCCCAGGCTTCTTTGTGATCATACTGCAAGTGTTGGCTTGCCATGAGCCAGCATTTCAAAAATACATTTTTAGTTAAAAAAAAAAAAAAAGCCAACCAGTATTTACTAGCCTCAAGAAGGCAGAAGTATTAGAAGAAAATACATATGTAAGTAATATGTTACAGACAATTCTCAAAACCCCTGCCTTTAGCTAATGATGGAAAGGTTAAGTTACATCATATTTTAGGACACATTTTCAAATTATTAGAACAGTATCCAGTGACACTGTAGTGTCATGAAATAAGAGTTGGCAAGTGCAAAGGTCTTGTCTTCTTTCCCTCCGAAATGGCGGAGTCTGACATGAAAAGAACAGCTTTGCAGAGCCATGCCTTTTACCCCACCAATACCTACCTCACAGATCACTTCTTATGTGAGGAACAAGGCTTCATTTTAACAGGAAAAAGCACACGCTTTAATTATTTCCACATGGGCAATGTATACTACCAAGTTAAAAGAATGCCTTTAGTACATTAAATCAGTTTCAGGGTGCAATTGAGGTCTAAAGTATACCCTGTTTCCAACATATGCAGTATTGTTGGACATCCAAATAAAGTCTTAAAATGAGGTAATTCAAGGGCTTTTTAGCCTTCCTGAAACTTACTTTTGCCGCATATTGAACATGGCTTACGGTAAAGACAAAAGTAGAGGCATTGTAGTCCCTTGAAAACGTTGCCATAAAACTGATTACAATTAATCACTAGAATTTGTTATTGTACATCTCCTTATAAAGGCTACCAGGAAAAATAAACCCAGCAAAAACAATTCCATCAAGAAATAATTGAACTGAATCACTCAGTAAGTATAGCCAGGACTTCTAATCCCAGAAAAGCACGTCTACGACAGATGGTCTTGCAGGACTTGACACTGACAACCATTTCATTCTGCTCTACTCCTTTCCACACTCAAAGGCAACTTAGCCTGTGGAGCTGAGCCTACCTAACAGAAAGTACCATTTCTTCAATTAGTAGGAAAACAAAACTTAACACACGGCAAATAAAAGGATCTGCAAGTAAATGTCTTACATTGTCACCTGCAAGAAAG